GTGTGGAGTGCACCGAGGGATGTATGGGATGGGGAGGGAGCTCATGTGAGAGGGGAAGGATGTACGGAGTGCACAGGGGGAGGGATGTGTGAAACAGGGGTGGAACGTGTGGGATCCATAAGGGATGTGAAATGCATGGAGGGGAGTTTTGGAATATGTGGTGTGTAAGGGGGGTGTGTGAGATGCACACGGGAGGTATGGGATGCATAGGAGATGTTTGGGATGCATACAGAGGTGTGGAGTGTGTGTGAAAAATGTGGGGTACGTGGGGAGATGTGGGGTGCACAGGGAGGTGTGGGATGCACAGGGAGGTGTGGGGTGCACAGGGAGGTGTGGGATCCGTGGCAGGGCAGGGTCTCCTGGCACACCAGGTCCCCACACTGCCACGTGTGTGCCCGGGGGTGGTGGCACTGYGGGTGACAGTGGCGGGGTGTCCCTGCAGAGCTGCCCTGGGACCAGCCCAGCGACAGCTGCCAGGAGTACAGCGACTGGAAAGAGAGGAAAACCTACCTCCCACCCTGGAAGAAGATCGACTCAGCTCCCTTGGGTAAGCACCAGCAGCTCCCTAAATACCCACACATATATACAGACACACAAATATRTACATACACACAAATATATACATACACACAYATATATACACTTGTACACACACACCAGATTGTGTTCCACCCCCTCGTCTCCCCCAGCACTGCTGCACAAGATCCTCACCGAGAGCCCGACGGCGAGGATCACCATCCCCGACATCCAGAAGGACCGGTGGTACAGCAGACCCCTCAAAAAGGGTAAGGGGCCGCGGGGGAGAGCGCTGCTGCTCCTGGATTTGGGATTATCGCGTGTCCTGTCCCTTTGCAGATGTCAAGCGGGCTCGGCTCTCCTCGGGGGGGGTCGCTGACTCCCCTGGAGGCTTCTCCAAGCACATCCGATCCGATACAGACTTCTCACCGGTGAAGGGAGCACTGGGGTGAGCCTCTGCCTCCCTGCACACGGCTTTGCAACTCCTTGCACGCCTCATGGCTTTCCTGGCGCTTTCTCCAGGAGGTGGCCGGGAGAAACCCTGGGATTCTGTCCCAAATCCTGCAAAAACCCGCATGCAGTTCCCGCACTGGGCTCTCCCCAGCACTCCTAACCCTCGTGTCCCCCGTTGCCTTGCAGTGAGGACAAGGCAAGCTATTCCACGTCGCAGCCGGAGCCCGGCACGGGCGGGATGCCGTGGGAGAGCGGTGCGGGAAGCATCGACCAGCTGGTGCAGGGCTTCAGCTTCTCCCAGCCCGCCTGCCCCGAGCACATGCTGGTCAACAGCCAACTGCTGGGCACCCCCGGCTCCTCCCAGGTCAGGGGCTGCAGGGGTCACCTGGCACCACCTGCAATATCGGGATATTGCCTCAATGTGTGCAGAGGTTTATCCCCTTGGGATTGCACCTTACAGCGTTTGGGATGTGGCTGGGC